GTAATACTGTGCGCACATGCAACTAGAAGCATAATGGGAAGCATGATGAATCATAATCCGTTTAGGATAAATCTTTCGCCTTTTGCTAATGATTTCCGTCTGGGGGTGCAATACAATGAGTCTATATAGACAGTCTTGCAGCACCTCGTTCTCGGGGCGGTTAAAGTGAGGAAGAAAGTCATCCTGACAGGGCCTCTGTGCGTGCACCCCCCAGACATGATGAGAACGTTATCACAGATACCGAAATCGAGCCAGTAGGTACAATTGTAGAATCAGTGGGCAGGGCTACCAACTACCATCCTGCCCAAATATATTTCATAAAAAACATGCGCAAAGTACATTTTTACTCATATGGCAGAAAATCACGCCTTTTTTTCAAATTTTACGCTCGAAGGAAGGATATCAATCGCTTTTGGAAAGGTTTTTTAATTCTTAAATAATTTTGAACCAGATCTACCGTTGCATCTGCGTCCGGGGTTAGAATTCTGAAGCTGTATACCTTCCGGTTGGGGAAAATCACATACCTATATGCTGTTAAGAAGATACCATATAGTACTCATGAAAATTTTCAGTGGATTTGAGTTATGTTGTATACCTCGTAAACAGCATTTTTAACGGATAGATGCGAGGTTACTTGGACGGACATTCGACGGTCTTAAAAGTCTCATAGTCATAAACTTTTTTTAAACCGGAGGATACCTTATCTTTGAGTAAAAATGTGAAAAGGCGTGATGTGCTACCAAACAGCCGTTTTGTGCATGTTTTCTACGAAGTATATTTGAATTTACAGCTACACCGGTAATTAATAGGGGAAAGCCATACTTTTTAAATAGCATTCGTTACGGAGTGTAATTTTACGGGCTTCCGAATAGAAATACATTTAAAAGCTGGCATCCTGAGGTGACTGAAATGTATTTTGATTATGCTGCACGATGATCAATATTGCAATCCCCCTAAGTAGTTCTTCGTAATCGAAAACGCATTTTTGAATTTTAATTAACACTTCGCTGACTGTAAGTAGGATGAACCGGACAGCAGACCACAGAACTGGCCAGACTCGTGAATGTTTATTATTTTTTGCAAAACGTTACCATGACAATGCTTTCTTGATCTGTAGCACAACTTGTAGGTTCAGAGGCTGCCCCGCCTGGCAATAACACACTTCGTAATCGGTTGTTTCCGCCTAAGCCATCTGATTTCAGGCAGACTACAATTTCCGGTACTTTTCTCTGAAAAACAATATTGGGGCAGCGTCAAGTAGTCAATATTCAAATATCAGGCAGCACCCTTAAATGTATGCGGTCAAACTAACGTCTTTATATTAGATAAGGAACTGAGGAGGTAACAAAGAATTAGAGCTACACGTTCTGGCAACCTGAAATATGCAGTTCCAGCCTTTAAAAGACCTGCTTAGTTTTCCCGTCTGCCGAACGACAATGTCCACCGTGTACCCCACATCAGGGTGGATGCAAGGACGTGACTTGAGCGTGAAATAATTTATAGTGATAGTGGACTTGCACCACATCTACCGCACTCTCTTCACTCACCCACTCGAGCTCGATGCCACGACAGACCTAAGAAGACCGGAGGCGGGATTGAGCGAAGAGGCTGGCAAAGATTGACAAACAGCCTGTGCGTGCCGCACACATACACACCCGGTCTGATCGCGATGGGCCAGGTTCTCGCAGCTACAAAGAGACGTCTCGGATTCCATCTGAGTGCGGGGGGAGCCATAGAGGACACAGTAAGAAGGAGCCATTGTAGCTTGACTCGCCGTGCTGAAAGAAGGACTGAATTATCCTGTCAGTTGGTAGCTTTCCCAGTCAAGGCTTTCAGCATACCGTTACAGGTTAAGGCGCGTCAGATTATTTATAGTGAGAAAAAACGCTAGAGTGCCGTGGGCACGCAGTCATCAGGGTCGACCTCTCTCTCTCTCTCTCTCTCTCTCTCTCTCTCTCTTTCATCTTTCTAACACTAGTCCACTGTCTGAGTCGATCGGTGATCGGATAGAGGACTCGGGTGCAAGTGGTTGGCGTTGCATAGGCCTGCATCCAGACACCTCACTGCGTCCCCATATGCGCCATTTGTTATGGGTGCACATGCTGTACCCTGCTCTGGTCCCGTAATGATCCAGCGCAGCTCTTGTCTGGCCCGTTGTAGAGGTGGAGGGGGCAATCCCATTCATAAAAGCTTGGAAAAAGAATGTTTGCCACGCCGAGTACAGCATTAGTTCACAGCACCAAGTAAACCAGTATCATAAGATGTGTAGGTATCTGATGCGGAAGCATGACAAAGCTGGTTGTGTGCGCCCGAAACCAATTATGTCGGTGTATGCAAGCAGCGTCCTGACAATTTCAAAATGTACGTGTGTGACACCTGTAGCGTCAGACAGTGGGAGGTCCAACTGTCCCATAATAAACCACGCTCTCTGTTTTTTTCTATCTTATCTCTAATGACAAACTCTAGCGAGTGCTCAAGAGCTCAGTTAATTAAACTTATGCCCTATGCGATCAACCAGTTTTATGTTTTTTACTAGTAGTATTTTCGTGGCGGCCATTCTTAGATCTTTTATGTGTTCATTGCTATTTTTAGTTTTCTTCGTTTGCTGTGGATTTTTTAACCTCTTCCATATCGAAGTTTGGGCGAGACTGACTTATGTGGACGTCTAAAAAGGATATGAGAACGGGAACCGCCTGTAACATGGGTGGCCTGGACCCAACTTCCAGCGATATTAGGGCTGGGTTTGATGGTTGGGTTAGGGTCAGGTTAAAGAGTACGTTTAAAACTAGATCTAAAGTTAACGGTAATATAAGTCAGGATCAAGTTTACGTTTAAGGTAAGGGCCAGTGTTAACTGCAGGGGTAAGGCATAGGATAGGGTTAGATTAACGGTTAAGTTTCATATTAAGGATATTGTTGGGGTTAGGATACAGCAATATTGTGCCCTCTTCGGAATTATGCGCAGGTCCACTTTTATTACTTTGGGCGGGATGTTTCTATTTCCATGCAATGTTTAGACGTCCACATAAGTCAGTCCCGCCGACTTTCCGCCCGTATAGTCTGCCCACAAAGTCAAGCGATTAGCTGATATGCACGGAATACGTTGCATATAGGTCCTCTCACTGGGACTTAATTGCCAATTAAGCGCTCAGACTGTGCAACTTATAACTCTTCGCTGATTGACAGAAGTTCTGGGGGGAATTTGTCAAACGGACCAAAATATGACACATTTCGATTGAACTGGTTCATGTAGGAGGTCAGCTGAAAGTGTCACCCGACTAAGCCCTGACAACATGTCTCAGTCACACTAGGCATGTGTTCAAGTTACATTGCGAGCACGCCTGATAATTCCAGTGTACGCCAACCGAAGCTTCCGAACACGGCTGACAGGTCACTGGACAAATGAGCATTCATGAAAACAATACTTGCTTACGTTAGATATTAAATGAACAGAAACGACCTGTCGACGGTTTAGCATTCCGAAACACGTGCAGAGTTTCGTTGAGCGCTTACCCCGCGGGAAACTAGCCCGAATTCGAAGTAGTACTAGTAATAATAATAGTAATAGCGATAATGGTGGTGGTGGTGGTGGTGGTGGTGGTGGTGGTGATGGTGGTGGTGGTGGTGATGGTGGTGGTGGTGGTGGTGGTGGCGGCGGCGGCGGCGGCGGCAGTGGCGGCGGCGGCGGCGGCGGCAGCGGCGGCGGCGGTGGTGGTAGCAAAACTGTCAGAGAATTTGCAGGCAATCAAATCGGACCTGCTGATATACGGTTGTCAATGCCCATTATTAGCAGCTGAGAAGCAGTCAGGCAAGACGTACTGATTCAACGTTCGCCTTACGCTCCAATCTCATGCGCAATAGTCCTTGATGGCGTAATGTTAGACCATTTTCATAATTTGTGCGGGAAATGCATCCTGGGAAGTGGAAATGCGGACCAACAGACCGGAGATTCTGTCGCGCAAGAGGGGCACGGTTGATGGCTTTCCCAGAGCCAAGGCCGAGGAGACAAAACGTGGCTGACTACTTTTACTGAGACGGAGTTCATAATCGAACGCATAGGCAACCAGGGGAGAAATGCGAGCGAGCGGGGACTTTGGTGCACAGTGAATGCCGTCAATTACCGGGAAGATCGGTATGATCATCGGTAACGGTAGAGTGTAGGACCTCACGTAGCTGGCAACTCCAAAATACACACTAAAACTCAGTGTAACTGTAAAAATCGCCCATTATTCAGCGTTCCGATTGGTTGAAATTTCCCTGCCTTCCTGACTAAATGTAAACTTACCGTTGGCGGTTTATTCAAAGTGCGTTATTTTGTGAAACTTCCTTTTGATCATCACCTCCGGCTCAGTAGTCGTTGTCAGCCAGCACCACACCAATGCCAGATTTGGTATTCATTCCACATTGCCAGTGGTCAGTAAGCGACTGCTTCCAAAGCACAACAGGACGAGCATACTTCGTACTGTTGTAATGTCACCTGAACTAAACATATTTTTTTGAATGATGTCACACTTTTGGACCGCGGATCCAGGATGAAGATGGTGTGACCGCGTGTTGGCGAAAATAACTGATGTTCTGTCCCCACATCCCCGCCGACCACATTCCTGTTGTCACCGCAACTACCGTACCATATTTCTCTCCCTCTACGTCGGCGCTTTCCACGGCCCCACCCCGCAGTTGCCGACAGTGCTGCATTCCCCACCCGGATGTTTAGCTGGTATGTTTCTATCACCTCTTCATCCAGAGGGATCATCACTTCTGCTGTATTTCCCATCCCCTTGTATCATTTAAAATTTCCCTATGTTCCGCAAATATTCCCGTGTTACACTTGAAAAGTCAAGTTGGCAAACACCTGTATTCGGTAATTCTTCGTCAGGCCAATAGATTTACATGAAGGCATGCAAATGTACAAAAGTAACTGTGTTTATAGGTGTCTCAAGGGCAATTAAGTCATTAGCACTCATCTTCCCCACGCCGCTCGCATGACGAGGTCGGCAGGTTTTGATCCTCAGAGCTAGCGGAGGGGAGGGGGCTAAAAGAGTATTTGAGTGATGTTCTTGGATTGAGTACATGGAGTACCCATCAGTGTAATTAGGGATTTGAGGTGGCTGATCATCATCACTTGGGGTTGGCGTTGGCCGCGGCCGAGAGAGTGCTTGTGTCAGGGTTTTCTCACAGCATAACACCGGATTCTCTAGCCGTATAGCCACTGCCTCGGTCGTTGCTAGTATCCGCTGGCGTAGGTCTTTAGAGAGGCATTTTGGTGTCCGATAGACAACCTGAAATGCTTCCTTGGCATCGACTCGGTGATTCGTATCGATTATATGTGCGAGGATAGAACTCGAAATCGACCGGGTCTCACCTTTGTCTAGCCAGGTGGGCATATGTTCACGCATCCTCGGTAACAATCGGGAGATGGCACCCAATAGAAATAATACCTACTATATATATATATATTTGCGTAGGTTATAGCCCTACATATTTGTTGTTTCATCTGACCTCAGTTCCATCTGACCTTCAGTCCACATGCTGCCTCACTCATAGTCTCCAACAGTTGAGATGCGATCGGTGTAGACTCAGCCATGGTTAATCAACCTTTACCTAGGCTTACACGACTGACGAGTGGCAGCAGTAATGGGGTTGCGGCTAAATCTAACCATACCTAAGGAGATTAGAGAAACGATCGCTGTAGACCTACACTAGCACTATCATTCTTGACCATTGCTTCCTGAGGTGACGAGCAACTGCATTTGTCGTTATCCGGCTTATTATACGGCAACATACCTTATGATACGTTAGCGTCCACATCTAAACCTGCATAGTTTAGGATAGTTGCGAAACAATATCTGCGGACCAACCCTACCATTATTAACATTGACATCCGGGTACACAGCTGAGGACCGACCGCTATGGTGCATTTGGGACATAAACTATTCTCGACAGGCTGTTTTGCTTGGGCAGATTTTTTGGGTGCCACCTCCCTATTGTTATTGCGAGGGGTGCGTACTGTTGAACTTTTGGACAAGGTCATCAGTATTGGTGGTACCATCCGCCTGACAGAAGATATCGTCCACTTACCGACCGTAGAAGACGAGGCCATTAATAGTATCTTTCAATCTTGTTTTCTCGACTTTGCCCATAAAAACCTTTGCAAGGAACGGTCCATGCGGTGAGTCCAGTGCCACACCATCTACCTGCCTATATAGTTGATAACTACACAGGAACTGGACATTTTGTGTGCAAAGCGTCAGTAGTTAGTTTAGCGTTTTCATAGGCCTGTCTATGGGCTAGTTTGTATCACGAATAACATGACAAAGACAGTCTATTGTTTCTGACACGGATACATTGGTGAACAACGACGATACATTCATTGATAACATCCTCCGTCCACCGGCTTCGACGAAATCAAAGGAGTCTTTGAAACTTCGAGGACACAGATAGCTTTGCAATGGCCTTAGTCTTTCTACTAGCTATTTTGCAACGGTATGATAGGGCGAATTCCTCATATCCAAGATTGGACTTAGAGGCAGCCCTTCTTTGTGCATTTTAGGAAGGTCGTACATTCTTGGTATTGTCGAGTCCACCGGTCTCGGTCGTTAATACTCCTTGCTAGACAAATGGACTATGTGTCGATTCCGCTACTCTTAGTATACGTATTTCGCACCACTGGACTTTTTCTACTGTCAGCTTGGATGAGATCGATGGCCCGTCTAACAACTCTTCAGATCGGATTAGCCTGGAATTATATCTAGTGCTCCACGTTACCTTGTGTGTGTTCTGCCCTCAACATCTTTGGCCGCTACGATGTAATACGGTCAGTGAACGAGTCCCCACGCCCAAGCGAATGCCTTTCTAGGCCAAAATGATCCATATTCGCCTGAGCCAAACGACGAGAAATGTTATCGGTGTGAGGGTCATAGTCACGGCCTCACCAGATGCGTCATCGATGACGGCTGACGCGTGTGACGCGGCTTGATCATATGATGGGTGAATTTGAAAACTGTGCCCTTGGCGGAAGAGCGAAAAGAACCACAACATTCACTTATGACAAAGTACACAGACTGCGGCAGCCATTTAACTGTCAGTTGTAAATATAGGCAGCTTGTGAAGTGCGGAGCTCACTTGCACCAACGAAAGTTGGCGAAGATTCTAACCAGGAAAATTTACCTGGAAGTCCCACGGGACACGCACTCAGGTAAAAGATTTGATTTGCCAAAATAATGAATGAGGGAGAAAGGCTAAACACCCGTGCCCATTAGTGCATCCAAGGCATCGGTAAGGCTCTGTTAGTCCCTTGTGCAAAAACGGCACTCACAAGGACTTTAGCTGAGTGGCCACGTTCTTACGTTGCACAGAAAAGTGGTGTAACTTGAAGCGCTTCCAAATCTGCAGTCACGTTGCGAATATTTTAGTATTTACTACTGAAATAGAGAGCCTGTAAGGAGGTTTTGAGCAGAAATCTTCTGCTTCTACGAGGTTTTTCCCACACTCCCAGCGGAAAAGTAGCTCAAAGCATGCGTCTAACCCAATACCGGCTGATATCGATTATTTGTACAGCTGCTAGACAGTCTCCAGCGGTTTGAGTCCGTTCAAGAGTGTATAGTTTTTGGCCAACGTGAGTTGTGTATTTCGACCGTGTGTACCAAACTCTGAAAATCTCGGCGACCTCGGAAGTATTAGGACCCACAACAGCAAGGGAAGGCTGAGTACAGTCAACGCTCTAGCCACCGGAGCTATGAGGCCCCACAAGGGAGCCGTGAGTTCAACCACATTTGGGTCAAGTTATCTGACCATCCTAATGCAACCGCAGGTACCTGTGCTACTAGTATTGTATCCTGTAACTCTAATGTAATTAATTTTGTAACTGGAACTCCATTTTGTTCATAGTAAGCTACTGGGGACACTAAAGAGGGAAGGCATCCGGCCGTTCCTGGCTGCGGATGCAACTGAGAGTCTGATTCTCTCATGCGTCGGCGAAGCGCCTGCTGAAATTCCCTACCGGGCATAGAGTAGTTTCATAGAATACGCTGTCGCACGTTGCATTGTTCATCTAACCTGAAGGTGTCGAATGCCAAATATGATCGAGCTTAAGTGGAATCATAACTGGACCAAAGAACTTATTGAACACAGCCCACGTTTGAAGTTGTTTAAATGACCTTGGATTTGGCTGACCAACTGCTTACTGTGTATATCAGAAAGACGTCCAGCTACATGGCGTAGTCTGTGGCCTGCTCACATCAAGGACTGCCGTAGGATGCCACATGGACACTACTGAGTGTTAACCAAACAACCTTGATCAATGACGACTGCACTACCCACTTCTGAATTATTTAGCCTCCTCAGCCAGGTCAAAAAGGTCTGGGAACCGAACTCAGATCAACAGAATTGAAGTCGACTGACTAACTGACGGCCCTGAAGAGTCGAATTCTCCTATCTACCGACGAGGCGCCTGTTGCAATTCGCTTCCGGGCGTAGAGTGGTTTCACAGAATACGCTCTAGCACGTTGTATTGTCAATCAGGTCTGAAGGTGTCGTGTGCAAAATATGATCAAGCATAAGTGGAATTGTAACTGGACCAAAGAACTTACGGAACGCAGTCCAGGTTTGAAGTTGTTTGGATGGGCTCGGCTGTGGCTGACTAACTGCTTACCGTGTATATCAGAAAGGCGTCCAGCCACATGGTATAGATTGAGGACTGCTCACCTCAAGGGTTGTCGCAGGATGCCCCATGAGCACTACTGAGTAGTAACTAAACGACCTTGAACAATGGTAACTGTACTACCCACTTCTGACTTATTTACCCTCCTCAACCAGGTCGAAAACTCCTGGGAGCCGAACCCAGATCAACAGAATTGTAGTCGACTGACTAACTGACAGCTATAAAGCCTGTACTTTTTGTTTGCGATCTGATTTATGTCCTGCATCTATCTGGAGGTAGTCGCAAAAGGACTTAAGAGCACACGTGTGCATGTAAGAATCAGTCACAAACACAAAACTTGAGGGCGCAGAGGCCGCAAGCATGTGCTGCGTGAGTTCAATTCACTGTATCATCAAATAGTTTAGACTCTGTGGCCCCCTTCTCAGTAGCTTCACCGAGCTTGATCGTCAGTCTGGACCGCGACATCGGAACACGGAATAATGCTCCCCGCATAGCTTGCGGATTGAAACAGGCACCAGAGGAACACTCCGAATTTCGTTCTTGTCACTTAAATGTTCCCAGGGAAGGCAGTCTGTATTCTGTGATTTGACTACACCAGTGTGCTGAGGCCGCCCTTCACTATGATTCGCTGTGCAAACTCTCAGATAGCTGGACAGCAGCCCCCCAATGTTGCTATGATAGGACGATCCTGAATCAGAAGAAAGGGCAAGAAGACAGCTTTTACGGAGGACGCGGCACAGTAACGCCTGCCTATCCGCCTGCCGTGAGCCCAGTTGGGTGAGGGTGACTACCAGGTCCGGGCCAAAGGTTGAACCCGAGAGTGTCACGAGAGTTCGTAATGGGGTGACTGACCTTGACAGGCGTCGACTATGTGGTGTGCGCCTGCCCGCATCGACAAGTCCGGCCCCGATTCCTCCGCGGCGAGTGATTGGGTAGGCCCCACTAGCAGCCTTGCCGCAAATGTTTACGCTAGTGTCGTTAGCTCGTGGCGTCTATGACCACCATATCGCAGTAGCCTTTTTGGATGAAATTAATGTGCAGTGCACTGACTGTATGGTGACTTCTGACACATCCCACTGTTTCATCGCTACCCCTTAGCTCTGGTACACCCTACCTGCCTCCCAACATTTAGCATGCGACCCGCCTCGGTAGTCGCTTGATAAATACCTCAAGTGATCGGGGTGAGAATTCGACTCGAGTTGATAATGGGTCGGGGTACTGGGACCACTCCTCCAACTCGGTCTCTCAGGCAAATAAAACGCGAAGGAAATAAAGGAGACGAAGAGCAGAAGTTTAAAAAGGTCGAAATAAATGGAAGGATGCATAAAAATGCATAATATCCTTCCACTCCTGACAGCCTCGATTATGCACATGCAGATTGGGCTACCAGGAGGCTTAGAAATAAATGCCTTGGTTGGTAGTCTGGCAATGTTACAGAGAAAGATACAGAAGCCTTGAATAGCTGCTGTCACCGGTATCAAGTGCAAACTGAAAGGGTGTAAGATTTGAACGTGGTCGGTTGGCCAAAGAGCATTTGGGGCAACTCAGATTACAGAAGCAGGTCGGATACCTGGTCTCCTCAAAGCCACCACGCCAAAGTATCTGTAGACCAGCATTATTGACAAAGACAAAGGAGACTGGAATGACAATTTCTGGTTTATTAGCCATCGTCAACCAGCCGTACCAAACCCCGGGGCGTGCAACATTTGGAGCTTGGTCCTGTCATCTGTTGGCAAGAGATCTAATGTCCTAACCATTGGACCACAAGTTCTTTATCCCGGCGGTCGCGACCGGGTATATGCAGTGGCAGAGAGCCGCTCGCCGATGGCGCCACGGAACTTATTCGTCCCGTTGTGCCTTGAAACTCTATCTCTCTCGAGCGCCGACAGCAGCCTTACGGCTGAACGTAATATAAGAATACTGGCAGGACGACGGCCAATAAGCCAGAAATGGTCGTTTCAGTCTCCCTTGACCTTATGCCTATATAACGCGCCGCTGTGCGACTGTAGGCAGAGCTCGAGAGAGAGGGCTCCAAGGCACAAATGAACAAATGAGCTCCGTAACGCGATCGGTGGGCGCCCCTCTACTATCGGGCAAATATCTGTCAACGTTTTGATCTACGAATGAAGGCGAAATTTCGAACTCGAGGTGTATGCATAAGTGGAGAAGAAGAGGAGTCAAGCACCGGAAAATGTTGTTTATTGTCCTGAGCTGACGATGGACTTCTGCATGAGTTCGAAAGCCCAAGATCATAAACAAAATGTTCCGGTGCTTGACTCTTCTTCTTCTTCTTCTTCTTCTTCTTCTTCTTCTTCTTCTTCTTCTTATTCTTCTTCTTCTTCTTCTTCTTCTTCTTCACGTTTTGATCTTTCGGCCAGCGTCAGTCTCAACAAGTCCAAACCTCAGTGGTTCACTTCATGCAGGCAGTTTTACTGAGCAGCCATACAACTACTATTGGTGGAGGATACTCATTGTCATCCGTGTCATCTTTCCATTTGGGGCGTAACCTCCAGGATGCTAAGTGCGCTTTCTTTTTACCTACTACTTGGCGACGTCTCTAAACCGTCCTCAGAGGAAAATTCTTTGAGCCTATAAGAACAGGGGTCATTAGCTGGCTTCCGGCCAGCGGATACAAGAACTCTGTTTTTACGAACCCTTCCGGCAGCAGAGGAGGGCGATTACAGGGGAACGCAGAATGACACTTTCCTGATAGGTAGTGAAACGCCTACTTGGTGTACAAATATCTGACACGCGACGCCGTCATTGGTTAAACAAGAACCAAAATGCGATGGCAGAGGGCGTTAAAGCCTGCAGGTGGTTACGCTTGCTCTTACAATTGGCCACGTGGTAAATGCCCAGGGTCATCAGGGGGGGGGGGCGTATCGGGGTCCGGCACGTGTTATTGAGTCGCGCATGGGTGGGCGTGGCGGTACACCTAGGAGCCAGCCCACAACGAGCTAGTCACATGCGCCCGATCGAGTCTCTGGTTTTCTCGACTCTGTGTTGACACCGGAAGGAGAGAGTGCGTTAGATGCGGTGAAAGTCTACTACCACTTTAAACTGACTCACGAGCAAGTCGCCGTCCCCGCAGCCACCATGCTGTGAGATATACGGTGGACATCGTCGGTTACTACGATCGAACTGCCAAGACGGTTGTCTGTTCTTGATCTCTGCCCCTCAAGCGAGCTTGTTTGCCTCGGGGTACCAATGAACTGGTGTGTACAGCAATACCTGATTTGCCGACAGTTCAACCACCATTGCGACTGTATTCGCCGTGTGCTCCACATCAGGGTGGGTGCACAAACGGCAACTTGTGAGTGAAGGGGTTTGCAGTGATAGTAAACTTGCGCAGCGCCTACCACACTGTCTCCTCCCTCATACACACCTGTTCCCTGCCCCGAAAGAGAGTAAATAAGACCGGTGATGGGATCGTATGCAGTGACTGATAAGGCTAAACAGCCCGTTTGTACGTGCCACCCACGCCACATCATGGACTACGTTTTTACAGAAACAGCAAGAGGGCGGCTCGGATCTCATCTGAGTGGGAGTGGTATACAGACAATTTTCAGACTACCTCTCATATCCATCAGTCGGCCACTTCACACAAAGACACGCCGAGTTGGCTGCGCGGTGCGAGTAAGACCATCAGCTGGTGGTCTTCCAAGCCACGGATTTTAGGTGATAGATTCAAATCTGTCAGACTGTTTATTAGTGAGGAATATGCTCTGTGCGTGCCATATACGACTTGAACCGCAAGCAACACCCACAAGGCGGTGGGCAACTCGGATTTTACGCGCGTGAGAGCCCTTGTGGGGGGCGGGGACATATTAAGGCGGAACGATCGAGTCTGACCTACAGTGCACTGGTTGACCATTCCACACACAAACACATGCACCCAGGGCCGACTGCGAAGTCTGAGTTATACTGCCAGTTGGCAACCTTCAAGCCACGACGTCCAGCGCATCGTGATAGATTTAAGCAGCACAGATTTGATTATAATGGGAATGCACTGAAATGTAGTGTAGATGGGGTCCCCAGCGCTGATTTTCAGCGATAGACTGACGAACTTCGAAGCGATGCATAGCCCTTCTGTGAGCCACCCGTGTTACCTGCGTGCGCATGTTTGGGCCTAGCCGGTGGGCACGGCTATGATTGGTTGGATGAAGGTGGTAAAACCCTACCCACAATGCTTTGGTAGGGGGCGCTCACCGATCGTTCTTATGGAACTCACTCGTTCCGTTGTGTCCAATGGGCTCTCTCTCTCGAGCCCAATCAGCAGCCGCACAGCGGCACATGATATAGGCATGATATATTGGCGTGAACTTCTAACTAACAGGTCGCGAGTTCGAGGCTCGGGTGTTCCACACTTCGGGATTGGGTATGACTGGCTGACGACGGCTAATAAGCCAGAAATGGCCATTAAAGCCTCCCTTGTCTTTGTTGGTAATAGCATACTACACACTGCTTTATCAGCATGGCTATGGCGAGGTAGCTCTTACGTCGGCATAATGAGTATTTCCATCCTATATGTTCCTGTGAGAAAAAGCAGTTGGTGAAAAATTACAGTAGTGGAATACAATGAAACCAAGCAGAAATACTCGGAGACTTGGTTATTATTAATGGAACTGGTATGGCTTTTCTTACTTTACATTTCTGTCCTGACAGACAACGAAATGTTAAATTGGAGGAAACTGAATAGAAGACTAAATTGTTTTAGTAGACTGGGGTCCCAGTGGACCTATCGGAATATATGACATTCCGTGAGGCAACCGCATTTGTTCCTTGTTTAAGAGGGGGGAGTGGATTACATAGCTTGCTGCATTGGTGCGGACAAGGAAACAGCCGTTTGATTGTGGGAAGAATCTTCGGACTAAATAAACTTGATCGCCTGAACAAGAGCTTTATTAGACCGACATTCCAAGCTAATCCTAGAATCCGCTAACAGAGAATGAAGTGCAAGTGGTTAATGCAAAAGAGTTACAAAATATATAGGATGTAGTTGTTACAGCACCCCGTACCTGATGAAATTTGAGATTTAGGTTTTATTTGCCGGTTATCCCGAGTGGAGCGATAATGGTTTGTTCTCACATGGATCAATAACGTCAGACTGATAAAGCACCTCCAGCGATCAAGCCCGCTGTATCTAAGTTGCCACCCAGAACGCCTCTTTTTGCGCACTGCGGTACAAAGAATGCAGAGGACTACCGACAAAGACATGGGAAACTGAAGTACACACAAGTCTGAAATGCCACTGCACGGTGTCGCGAACACCGAACCCACGTCAACATGCCCAACTCGTCTACCAACATCCAGCGCGTCGAGTGGCCTCGTTTAACAGCTCCGCATACGTTATATTGTCAACCCGGTCAACCTATCTTCCGTCTCGTACACCACCACCGCCGCCGCCGCCGCCGCCGCCGCCGCCGCCGCCACCACCACCACCACCACCACCACCACCACCACCACCACCACCACCACCACCACCACCACCACCACCACCAACGTCAGCATCATTATCATCATGCTCACCGAGGTCACTCATCCCACCTGTCCTTACTTTTTTAACTTTTTGTAGTTCCGGTTTCCACTGGTTCCATGTCTTCCGCAACATGGGTTCCACCAAAACGCAAACGACACTAACCAACATCTATGTAGGCACGATGTCAAATTGTCCACATTGCGACTATACATCCAAACCACATCTCGACTTGGTCAGTCACCTGCGAATCCATCAAAGCACAACCTCCGAACCGAAATCTGGGTTTTCAAACAACGCCCATTAGGCATGCTTTACCTGCTCATGCTTTCCAAAGGCATTCAGACACTGCCGAAATATTCATACATCAAATTTCGGTCTGCGTCCATAGACATTGGTACAAAATGATTTACTCCGAGTTAACAGTCAACTTCTGAGGCAATTAAAAAGCAATAATTTCTAAACCGGAGTATCTACCAGAAAGCACACGGGAACGTTGGAAGACTCACTGATGAGCCGAACCCCTCTCAGCTGTGCCATGCAGCGGCAGAACATCGGCGAATCACGCGTGTCTGGGCTTTTAACTGGCACCTGTACTGCTGGTATGGTGCCTTGCAACGTTAAGGGCTAGATCTCTCCCACAACATTCCCACAAACAACCGTATTATGGGTTATTTGTAACCTACTCAGTCATACTCTTGTGTTGCAGTCCGGTCCAGTTTATTTGAGGGAAACATAGGTGTTGTACCGTTGAACTCCCTTTTTGTTACAAGAAAGCGGGTTATATCAAAAATTGGAGAGTGGAAGCATCAAACAGTTGCAGAATTTTTCCGAAACCCGTCAGATAAACTAATTGTTCCTAGCGTTAAAAACATTAACATTACTGTATATGCTGTACACTAGTCGGTCTATGCATAATTGGTGTGATCACAGCTTCTGAGGGAGACGAATTGAATGTTAACACTCACATTCAACGGACTTGGGATAATCATAAGAACAAACTGCGGCGCACGCAGTATAAGTCGACTTTAAGAAAACATTCGACGGGGGTCTCTGAGAAGAACGTGCAATAACTCACTAAACCAGTCCCAATCCGTGATTCTTTCATCGGAAAAAGCTGATTCCCAGCTTATAGTGTTTAGTTCAGCTTTCGTCTTTTTTCCGACGAGAGTGCGCGAAGAGCAACAGTCAAACTGTCCGGATCTGGTCCTTACGAAGTCGCTAGACAGCATTGATGAGGTGCACTGTGTGCGTCCCCTAGGTCGAAGCCAGTATGTGTCAGCCATCAGTAAATCCCCGATCAACAATTATGCACCAAACATGTAATGCACTTTGCAAGCGTTATCCCGACGAGCTAAGTGTAAATTGTAATTATTTAATCACTTTACATTTCGGTGAAGTGTGTACGTGTGACACAAGTCAGCGGGGACTCTAACCTCACACCAGACATCTGGCCCATTTTCACCACAAGTCAGCTGAAAGGTCCAGTCAGTCCGCTGGTGCACGTGAGAGGGGAGAATGGGTGAGGTCGACCCAGGAAGACCCTTTAATTGTGACACGTCCCAGCCCATTCCAGACTATGAATGACCTCAGACACGTGATCACACCACGACGCGATGCAAAGTGGCGGTGTGGAAAATTGTCAGATACCGGCGTAACTTGCTTCTGCTCTGGAACGGGGATCAGAGGAAAAAAGTTCCTTCGCGATGTTGTCTTTGTGGGGCCTTCCCTTTGGACAGGGCGATTTCGCGTCACGTCAGCCAGTAGGTCACATTTTACTTCCAGAAAGCCGCTGGTGGGTGGAAAAGGGCGATGAAAGTAACGTTGATTGAGCTCGGATCCGGATTTTAGGTTCTCACTATAAACAACCAAAATGCGCCTCGAAGCCATGGTGGGGCGCAAACAGTAGGGGTTTTAAGGGCTACCAGTTGATAAGGCAACTCAATGCTACTCAGGACTGAGATCAGGTTAATATGTTTATTTCTTAAACTGGCCTGTAACATTGTCAATTACGTAAATTAGAGGCGCTCCCTGAATGAAGTCGAGTACGATTGTAGTCAGGGACCAGGTCGTGTGTAACACACTTCGGTGGACTGTTTAACATGCATGCCCATAGAGGCTAGCAGTAAAACAGTGAAATAAGACACGGAAAAGATTCTCTTCCGAAGTACCCTGTCTGCCACCTGAAACGCTATGATCGTATCCGGCCTCAAATGTCCAAACTACTGGCTGCGGGTAGACTCGTTCATAAGTGGCCGCGCCCCAAAACCCCTACACAACACAGAACCCAATCAGATCTCGGCGATTGGAGGACGAACACTCTTAATCATTCTGCACACTGTTGTAAGGCGGTAAAGACCGCAATTTCGATGCTGCCTGCCATCAGGAGAGCATTTACAATTTTTGATGAAGGCTCCTTTGCCAAGTCTTCGATGCGTGACTAACTGAAACCGCTGTCTTCTGAATTATAGGTAATTGCGTGGTGACTTTATAAAGATTTTTCGTACTGTACGTGGTCTGAACCGAGCCCTTCTGTGTGGCTACTTCTTCTGACTAGCCATTACATCCAGCCTCTCGGGACATCTATTCAAGCTATGCGTACTCCAAGGAAGATTGGATGTGCTCTCTCCAGAGGACAATTTTTACAAGCCGTAAAAAACTGCCGTGCTCCACTGAAGGTCTGCGCGCGCATCACGATTTTCAGGGATCAGTGAAATTTACATCTTTGATTCGATTTCTTTATCACTTACATAGTTTGCCAGTTGAAATCTGGCGAAATTTCTATTTATGACCATAAGTCACCTGTGCTTACCGACGTCTTTTGTTATTTTATCTACAATCGGAAATAAACTGTCATAATTTTTCACCTCACGTAACCTCACTCCTGTTAATTTTTACTCCTTCATATAAGAGGTCTTCGTCGTAAAGTTTTTCAAAATCACTATATTTTTTACAATAACTCTTCTCCATTGGCCGCTGTTATTGTCGATTTACCAACTAGTAAGAAAATTATACCGCCATCTATTTGATCCTAGACAACCTCATCGTAAAACGCAAATTTTATTCAGTTTTATTTAGCTACCTACAAAATTGTCAGTTGTCTGTTTTTTTTTATCAGAACATCTCATTATTAAGCAAAAATAGCATAAGTGACAATTCTGCTGTTCGGTCAACCGATGCTGATAGCTTTACGGAATTGTTCACCATATACGGCCTCATCCTTAAATTCTCTAAAGAAGATAAAATCGTAAGAACTAGCAATTCCGGCGCCTTATATGTATAATTATTGATATAATACTACTCCTGAAAGCCATATTCAAATTTTTAGCAGCTATCGTTCCTGAAAGTCAGAACTAAACCCTTGTTTGGTTTTCCCAAATATGAAACCTCAGGCAATGCTTCGTCGAATTTCGAAGGAAACTAAATTCCAAGCTTCTCATTTAAGACCCGCCGTCAATAGGAAAAAGACACATCTTGGGGTACTCGAAAATCTTGACAATGTTATGTCTTATTATGGGTGGATTTTTCCAGTTCTTGATGCCCTTCTTGAAGGAAAATGCTAACAATTACTTCTCAACAGTGTGAGAAGCCCGTAGCTTGCATCGAAGTGGTCGCTAGTGAGACTTAGACGGACACAAGGGAAGTCTTGACTTTATTTTGAAAAGTATTCCTTAGAGAAGGCAGCCCCTCGATATAGTCTTCCAGTTCCATAACTCGTGTGGCTTAAACTCTAGGATCACGGAAACTAAAAGACTTTCAGGTAAGAGCAAAAATCCACCCATTCTGGCGAGATTGTTCTCGTCGATAGAAGTAGACTCTATGTTCTTTTATTTGGAGCACTCGGCTCAAAATTTTAGAGGAAATAAGCCTTTTATAAGTCGGAATTAAACCCCAATGGAACGCAGAGTTTCCCCCTTATTAGTAAGCATAAAGCCGTCCAAGAATTCAACTCATCTGTAATTTCCTTCTGAGATTGGTTCTTCATCTGTTGTCAGGCAAATTTTCACCGTACCTGCGGCAGCCCTATTTTCCCTAGCTGTTCACCTTGGCACGGTATCACCGATTCCGTCGAAATCTGCCACTTTGAAACATCTCCAAGAAGCGGTTATTACTCAAATCATGCTCCCAAATTTACCAGGCCGCTTGATCTTGGCAGTAACGATTGACAAAGATATTTCAGTTTATTTGGTAAGGATAATAGACATAGCCTTTGAAAACCCCATTGATCACATGTCAGCTCGTTAGAAATAACTGTACACGAACAATGAAAATATTCACTATTAAAACAGTAATTGATTTATTTGAGAAACATTGTCTCAGAGAAAGCATTTGCGGGGTCGCGGGGTATTTAGTTCAGACTCAGACTGTCGAGGGAAAACAGGGGACACAAATAATCATCCAAGCGTTTCTTGAAGAGTTGCAAGGACGTCACCTCCACGACCGACTGAGAGAGATCGTTCCATTTCTCCACTACCCTCTGAGTAAAAAAATTCAGAACGAAGATTCAGCCTGGACATTGTTGTCCGTAACTTCATCGAGTGATCACGAAGGTTGGGTGAAAGGTGCCACTGAAGCATGTCCTTAAAGCTAAGTCCATGCTCAAGGCCATGTATTATCTTGTAGATGAGGATAAGATCACCTCTTTGCTGCCTGTAACACGGAGGGAATAAATTAAGGCAATTCAGTCTGTCTGCGTAGGATTGGCTGTTTAGGCCGTTTACCAGCTTTGTTGCACGACGTTGTACCCGTGCGAGGCATGCTTGGTCCTTTACTATCCATAGCCGCCATACTTGTAGGCCATATTCTAAGTGGGGCCGAACAAATGTGCCTTAAACTCTCCCAAAAAGGTCTTGGTCAAAGGATACGAAAGCCCTTTTGATTGCATGGAGCACTATCATGGCGTTTCTTGCAGTTTTGTGGCACTGAAGTGTCGGCTTCAGGTTGTTCTGTATCCAAACCTCGAGATCCTTCTGTGAAGATTCTGCAGGGAGCCTTATATCTTTCAGGTGATATGTCCTCAGGTTTTCATTTGAATGAGAGTTGGTTAGACGCAGATGATGAACGGC